AAACTTAACAATGGAGAGGGTTAGAAATAATACCTTAAGGCGAAAATACTGCCGCTAAGGGGAAATTTTAACGACGTTAAGGCGAAATGTACACAAAGGATTTTTCACCCTATGAGTTAGGAGTATATTATATATATATATAAATAATAAATAAATAATAATACATCGGGTGACATCTCAATGTGCGTTACACAATTTAAAATATATAATTTAATATACATATATATACTGTATATAATATATATATATATATATATATAAAACCCCCTACTCTTCCGAAAGATGCAATTGGTTCTTTAAAGTGCACACAAACCAAGTGTATACACTGGACCCTTTTTTAAGTCCTTATCCAAAAAAATTGGTTCTAGCTACGGTGAGGAGCAGCTGGAACCAGTGTCGATGTTAAGGTTGTAGTTGGTGCCCTTGTCTTACCGCTTGGCCACTTGAATATAAGAATAATGTAATTATTAAAGAGCATTAAATTTTAAGTGCCTTCTTTATACTGGGTTGTGAGGCTATGATAATTGAGAGAGTGAGAGACTGTAAGATATACCTTGTAGCTAAGTTTTATTTCACTCGTTTATATATTATTTCAATAGTATGATATCATTGGATCTTCCACAGTGAAAAAAATGAAACTCGCATAGTTTAGCAATTTAAAAACAGGTGAAATAATTTGATCCACACTCGAGAGGAATGGGAAAGAATTTTGTGGAATTGTAATTTACCTAGTAGTCTACAAAAACCATGAAGATTTTCCATTTATCAAAATACACCAAAATTACTTTGCAAAGGTATGATGCAAATATCGCACACAGTTGTTTGAATAATTCACATAGTTAAGTCCATATATCATGAAACTGATGGTAAGGCACTGTCATTACTGTATTAATAAACCAACGTTGATTCGAAAATTTCACCCCAAGCATGTTTGTTAATCGTCTGTGATGAGCTCTACTGGGTTTGTCGTCAGAGGGAATAACATAATCCAGTTGTGTAGGATGCAATGCTTGGTTGCTATATGTAGCAATGTGTTCAACTAAAATATCTAAAAGTATGTCTAAATTTTCAATAAATTTATTTTTATATTCTTTTCTAAACAACCTAATATTTGTAGGGGAGGGTGTTGACTATAAATGCAAAAAAATAGTAGTTTAGCTGATAAAAATACAAAGTAAATTTTGTTTTTAACTTGTTTGATGCCAACTGTAAGTAAAATTAATTAAAGTATTAATCAATTAATTAAAGCATAGCTGGTGCACTCTTCAAGAAGAAAAATAACTTTTACAATGAAATGAATAAAGTAAGCTATGTTTTAACACTGTTAATTACGGGAAGTTGTTTGTCTCGGAGGGGAGTTATTTCACTCCCAAAAAGATGCAAAATGGCTGCTTTTGGAGTTGGAATGGCTCCTTAAAAGTGACAGTGAGATGGAATTTAATTTGTATTTTATTGCATGACATGGACTCTTAACTTGTCTCCCAAAAAAAGAAATTAGATCTGGACTATAAAAAATAACTATAAATATAAATTATACTGAGCATGTTGATACTGTGTATGTTTACAATATGTTGCAAGTATATTTTAACCCTGCAGTAAACGCATATATTTCTCATGCAACTATCAAACACTCCAGGCCAACAAGTTTATCCGCATCACAACTTTCGCAACGGCACATGGAATATCACACTATATAATGAGTACAATAATATTTTGAATATAAGTTTCCTTTTTTTATTTTCATTGCATCAGTCAGGTTTCCCTGACACGTACCTTTGATCAATAATTTAAGATTTATACGAAAATCAAACCCCTTTAGCAGGGATTTACACTAAAAAAAATTGTACAACATTTTGAAATATTTGTCCACACACTACCAAATGAGAGCTTCTAGCACAGCCACCTCCCTATTGAAGTGCTGAAGCTCAGATACCAAATTTTAAGATGTATCAACTAAATAACAACCAATGTCATAATTAAAAGCCAACGTTTTAATTAACTAACCTTTCACAAACAATCGATCAGTTTGTATTTTTAAGGTACAAATTGTGGCCTAACTCTGCTTGTTTCTTTGGTTAAATAATTTAAATTGAATAAGTTTGTAACATAATTCCACCTAATAAAATACTTCTATTCATCTTACACCATTATAATACTGTTTATTAATATGTCATCCCTATTCTTACAATGTAGCAGACATAATCTAAAATGGATAATGCAAGTCATTGAAGACTTAACTTTTTGCACTTCGGCACCAGTACTCAATAATAGCAAACAAAAACAGGTAAACAAAGGAAAAAATAATTTAAAAGAGTATTGCATTATAATATAATCTAAATTCACATTTCATAAATACATACCACAAGAAAGACATACAATACATATTTTTGTAGGGAGATCGAGTCTATGTATCTATATTTGTAAATATCAGAAAACAGTAGTAAAATGTGTAACTTGAAGTTTCACCAATATCTATCAATTCTTCCACAAACATAAGCATCAACAAGTGCTTCTAAATTGAATGTTATTATAGTAACAATTTATTTTTTCACAAACTCTGGTGCCAGCACCTAACACATCATTCAGCAACCTTTGTTAATTCGTTTGATTTATTTTATAGTCTGTAAGTAGTCATCGGCTAGGTGTGTTTTTTTTCCTTGGAACAACTGGAACAAACCTGAAACTGTTGATATCAAGAAAAAATCTTGTAAAACTAAATCACTTAGCTCAAGACACCTAGCACACACATAATATTCTTTATATTTTATATATATATATATATGTACAACACATTTGATAGAAAATAAACTGAATAGTCCGTGTAAAGACCACTTTACATTGCATATTCTAGCCAATCAGTAAACTACATTCATATCACATGACTTCCCCAGTGTGTTCAGACATTTCATAACAAATTATAGTTAAACAAAATAATCCAATGCATCTATTTTAAGCAGTATTTTTGAAACCATCTATAATGCATACCTAAAATCGTTTCTCAGTATGCTTCTGCTAAACAGGAACATAAACTTTAATAGTGATGATCTGATAAATAACATTTTCTTTCCTTATGGGGTTGCATAACTGTCTATAGTCACCATAGAGGGATAAACAGAAATTAAAATAAACTAAAATAGTAAATAAAGAAACTTACTTTAGAATTAGATTATAAAAGCCAACGATATAAAAAAAAAAGAGAACGCCCAAATTCAGCCCTTACACATATAACACACTTATTTCAGTTCTGGAGTGTGGTCATACTAACTCCCAACATACCCATGTTTAGTATTGCTTCATTGAATCACATGTCACGTCCTATGTTTTGTCCACCTGTGACATTTTGGATCAATTCTGATCCAGTATTTAATTTAAAGAAAAAAAACATGTTAAGAACATCAAGTGACCGTTGTCCTCGCATACAGCCACTGCTCTACTAGTATGCACGTATGTGCTAAGTACATGCAATACTGTATGTGCACTAAGCACACACAACCTGATATGCCAATCAGTATCTAGAAGTTTGATACACAATATAATACATATATTTATATATATGATATACACATATGTATGTATTTATATCTCAATATCTGTTCTTTAATTGAATATCAGTGATGTCCTATCATCCATAGTTGGTTTCCACGGTATCAGTCAACAAAATATACCATGGGCGAGTAACATCGTCAGTTGGTCCCTGGAAGCTGTTGCTTAGATACCATTGCTTTGGTAACCACTTGTAGTTATAGCAACTATATATACTATATATGTCTCAATTGGTAGTGTTCAGTGTCTCTGTTTTCAGTTCAACATTCAGATTTCTTACTGGTCCGTAATAATTGCTGGTAGATGTCTGACTTAAGAAATCTAGGGTACGAGTCTTTTTCCATCAATGCTTCGATGCGTTTTTGTGCATTATCAAATGTATGCTCATCTGGTTTTCGTACGTTGGATGTTGTCTCTATTCGTGTAGCAGAGTCAAGATTTACCTGAAGAAATAAAATGGTCTAGTTGTATAGTTTTCAATCAGTTTAATAAAGCATTATATGAGGTACAATGAACTATATTGTATTTCCATCAACATATGTCATTTGAGCAATAGGTGTATGTTATAAATATTGATGTTAGATGACATTTTGCTTTGGAAGAATAATAATTGCTATGATACATGATGTTTATGTCACACGAATTGGAATACAGTTAAAAATTACCATTATTTTAAATTTAATGCATATTGTTTTATAGATTTAATTTAAATCTCTCTCACTATTCCCATCGACAATTAATAATCTGTAATAAAAATAGTATTGAGGTCCCTTCTTCCATACATCTTTATAATTACAGCATACAGTAACTATTTTGTTAGGCATTTATGAGTATAAATAATGTATTTACCTCTCGTGGGGCTTGTGTGGCTACGTAATCTTCATGTATTTTCCGTGCACGATTTGTATGCTTTGAAGGTGATAGAGTTCGATACTCCTCACATGCTAACCAAAATTCGATGTTCTCATCACTGAACTCTGTTTGGAGAAATCGCCTGAAAGCTTCTAGACCACCTAGGAATGGAAGAAACGAAAACATTGACAATGTTTGTGTTTCCTTGTTAGATTCATCTGATATTGAGTTTCAATCTCTAAAACTGAATGCACATGGTTGAACAATTTCGTCAAAAAGAAAAAAAAATTCCTGGAATTAACAGAACAGAACAATGCATTGAATCTTCAGAGAAACTGCTTGACAAAAGTTTTTTGCCATGTGCACTGGACTTGCATTCAGTTTTGAATTTTTAAAATATGAATATTATAGCATTAACACACTAAAGCATTAAAACATAATTGAATAATTTTACAATGGTTAATAGTAAAATATAAGAAACTTACATTTATCCCGCAAAAGTCTATCAAAAGATTCACTCCACTGTCTGACTTCTGATAGTGTGCAAGGTGGAAGCGGCGGTTTCAACTTCTCTGCGTCTCTCAGAGCACTATCCGTGTGACGCCTTCGTAGAGAACGAACTTTGTCTTTCAAGTCCTTGGCACTGAAGAAAACAAATGAAATTCGTTCACTAACTTTACTTTTAGTAGACATAGTATTATCTCGTCTGTCAAGCATCATTGTACTGTTTGTATCTGAAAGGCGCCTAAAAAATCCTAGTAACGATTGGTATTTCATTGGCCAGTAAGTTGTAGATGTGCTGTGAATGGTTGCATCAACAGATGTGATTGTATGTGCTGAGCAACTCAGGTATATGAAAGCTAACAATGCCCACGTGACGAGCCAGTTATATGAGACTTAGGAGTCACCTCAACTCATTATGCTTGGCTTGGTCTAAGATGACGTCAATAAGCCAGGCAATGAGCATATCAAATATCAAGCAGCCTACTGGCTTCTAGAGTTGAAATGACTGCCTTAAGGAGGTGGTTTTTTGTACTACTAACCACCTTGATTAGTTTCAGTGTATGCATGGATTATAATGTAGAGTAAATTACCGTAGCTGGAAGTAGGGATCTTCCGTTTGAAATATCTTCCCACACGGGCGTATGAATCAACAACTTTCCATCTATTATACCATGTAGTATTTATATCAATTGATAATTAATTAACATCTCAATAACCAAAATTAGTATTGACACAATTTTCTGTTTATTATGCAATATCATAGGTGTACTTTATTTGTAATTGGCAACATCAACAACTGCTCTGGTGATATCATTTCTATTTACTGTACAAATGTAAACATCAGAAATACTGTACTAAATACTAAATTCAAACTGTTCTAATTTTTCATTACTGTATTTGAATAACAATATTTTGTTTGTAGTGGATTTCGATATCTTTTATTTAATTATGTTCTTTTTGTGTAATATTTATAATTATTTCTAACAGTTCCTATTGTCAGTGCATTTTTAGTTAATATCTTGTCTAAAAATATCATTAAGGGACAATGAATCTTTTTTTCTTATCACATGTATTTTTGTTTGTAATTATGGAAAGCAGATGAGGATTAATAAAGATTCTTACAAAAATTTACTTATTTTCTTAATAATATTAATGTTTTATAAAAAAAAAAAACATGGTATTATTTAAAAATAATATGTTTTTATAAAAATATAGTATTATTTTAAAACAATAATATTAATAAATAAAAAACATGCTATTATTTTCTTATATGTTATATGTTTTATCTTTTATCTACATTTATGAATATTTTTTTTGGCCAAAATATACAGTGCAGATACATTCGGGTTTCATAACATTTATATAATTTATAGTTTTGTTATAATTTATTTGTTATTACCATATAAAAGGAAATGTATCTTATCACATTTATTTAATTATATAACTTATATGTTGTCTCTGTTATTTGACTAATTTAAATTTAATAGGTAAAGAAAGCATTTCATGATTGGTTGGGCCTTATATAATAATTATTTAACCAATTGTAACCATAAAAATTATATTAATCAAAAATATTAATTTGTAATCATGATTTAATCTGGAAGTTTTTTGAGAAAAAAAAACGTATTAACTATAAATCAGAATGTTTATCTTTTAGCCATTTAAATAAATAATAAGAAAATTAGGTGGGAGTAGTACTGACATAATTTAATTATATAAAATAATCAATTTTGATAAATGCCAAAATCTCATAATTCACATTTTGTATAAATTGTTAACATAGACTCCTTTTTAGGAGAGAGGGACTTTAAGTCAAAATGCATATTTGCGGAAGGCCAAAATATTAGAATTATAAATTTTAATGAAATTAATTATGAATATCAGATTATATTTTTAATAAATAATAAAATAAAAAAAACCCAGATAAATTATTGTAGTACTAATATGCAAATAATAACAGAAAATACAGCAGTAGAAACCTGTTTTATCTGAACTGCAAAAACAGCATGTCATCTATAGGTTAATGGCTGTTGCGTGACAGAGTATCGCTTTCATCTGCTTATTACATAATCATATGCAAGATCATCCTGTTCTACAGAGGGCGCCATATAGTTTATACCAAAAAGACAAGTTGTATATCAAAAAAAAAACCTGCACACATGAAGGAATTAGTGTAGTTGAATCGCAAGAGAGTAACAAACAATTTTTTTTTTCAAACATCATTTTTTATCTTAAAAACATGATTAAAAAATACTAATCAGGCAAGGGAATAAATATATATTAAACCAATATTTTAAATATTTATTTCCTAACAAATAATTTCTAAAATTTTGTAAGATAAGCAATTAATATTTTAATTTTCTAAGAACTAATATTTATTTATCTTGTCATTAAGACTAATATTCTGTGTATATTAATATATTCTATGTTGTATTTAGTTTGATTTTTTTAGTAACAGGTAAAACAAATTTCATTGATATATTATTTGATTGATGATCTAATAAAATATTCTTAATACTTGATTCTTGAGTTAAAACAGATTGTAATTTTTCCCTTGCCAAAAAATGGCAGCTTACAAACAGACTGCATACTATTGGAAAATTAGAGCATGGAATGTGATAATAAATCTACAGGTGGAAAGATGATGTAATGATTGGCATATATGATGCATTTATGATGTCTATAAAATTACTTTACAAAAGTAGTTATAATCATCATAATAAAGAAGTATGTATAAATAAAAGCATTAATACACCATTTTTATTCCTGCAAAATAAGTATTCCTTTAGAGTTAAAATGATTTACTGTACTTTATTATTATTATTATTATTATTACTATTATTATTATTATTATTATTATTGTACTATAATTTCAATAAAACTGAATAAAACATGAATAAAAAAGTAAGCTTACATAATTTGATTGTAATTTTAATGGGCAATTTTAAAGTGTTTTGTACAAGGTAACTTAATGAATAACATTAGAGACAGGAAGACATAAAAGTCACAACCTACTGGTGACGATAAACATTCAATTCATGACCATACAGGACGGTAATAGCAACGTATGCATATTTATGAACTAAGATGCTCGTAAAACTACTTTTATATGTGTGACGTAAAGTGTAAAGATGATGGGTGTTGTAAATTACCTTTGTCAAAAAGCTCTTTTACACTATTCATTATATTCAAGACAATGCAGACATTCCACAAAAATTCTCTACTTGATGTTCACCTAATTCGAATCGATTAATATTACACAAATTGAAATGAATTGACAAGAGTACTATGATGGTAATTAATCTAACATACTCGTACTAAGTATGGTCACTTTAACATCTGATGGATCAAGTATTTCAATTTACTTTACAATCAAGAGTTGGATAATTAAGTTTTAAAATCTATTTCTTTAATGAGTGAGTATAATCAAACTGGATCAGTACAGATTGATACTTGAGGCAAAACCAAGTAAAAATAGAAAGTTATGTTATCTCATACTGTAACATTACTTAAAACCAAAGTGAATTAAATTTTAAAAAGTGAGTATGCAAGTAGGAAAATGATGGGGAAAACAACTAAAACAAACATGATATCATAATGCTAAAATGTGGGATGATATAATGAATGCCCACAACCCTAACTTACATATACCGTAATGTCTATGCTGTACAAAAAAGTGTTCAATTAAAACTTTCTCTTTTGCGTTTACATTGTTAATATAATACCTTGTAGAAAAGTACCTGTTTTTTGTGATGTAAGTTTTTAACATGGTAAAATAGAAACTATGGTTATTTTTAACTATACTGTACTACACTATTCAAAAAGGCATGGAGAAAAGTAAGTGTTCCTGAGAGCAAATCTTATAAGGGCTTCGAAAGAGACATACAACAAAAAATAATAAGATATATCTTCACTATTCAACTTACATTAAAAGAATTCACATTCACATCATGAGAAATGCAATTGTTATTTTGAAAGAACTAGTGATTAAAGACCCTAGTATGGTAATTGACCAGTTTTATTGACTTTTACCTCAACTCTCTGACCCCAACCTTTTTAAGTATTCCTAGATAACTTGAGAATGTTTTTTAGCTACTTATGAACATCAAGATAAATCCTAGCAGTCAATTCTGAAGAACAGTCTTTCAACAGACATATGCATTTATTGAAAGATAACAAGAAACTTGAAATCTCTCGCAGCAGAATGGTTTCTATGAGAACAATCTTGGACTTGTGCCACAGGCCTGTCCATGTAATTGGACATTATTTTTGCTCTCTCCTCTTTTCCTAAACAAATCCATCTGTTTATCTACAATTCGTACATAAATTTACCAATAGATATAAATAGTTATAAAAATAATATTGCTTTCCAACTCAAATAAATGATATTAAATTGGCACATATTGACTACAGTACTAATAATAAATATTGATTATTCTTTGGTTATTTCAGTTACTTATTCGACCATAGAAACATTAAAAAAGCACAATAACAAGATACAACAAAACGATGATCAGGGATAGCTAAAGCAAATAAATTAATATACTCTTTTATCTCTTAGCATCCTTGGTATAGGCCTATATATACAGGCCTGGACAAAATGTTTCTGCCTCAGACTATGAAAACTATGCATAAAAAGCCTCTAGCGTGTTGTCTGTACACTGCCGTGTAGCCCAACAAGTTTTAGTTGCCTGGAGCACTGTGGAATATAGCACAACAGTGATTTCCCAGAACAAAAACCCAAAAAAACAAAATAGGGAGAGTTTTCCTTCAGGTAAGGAAAACCTCAGGCATTTTTCAAACATTTCTAGTAATTATAAAAGTAGGTATAAATAGTAATTTTGATAGCTGAGTGTTTGGCTAATTGGTAAGGTTTTGCAGTTTTGAACTTGGGTTTGCGACCTACAGTTACAGTACCAGGAAGATTATGGTAAATTTGGGTCCTTATTCATCTCATCAAATTATCAGGTCTTAGAGACCATGTTGTGTCAGTTATATCTATTATATTTAGTAAAGTTGTTAAAGCCAGGCTCCGGAGGAAAATTTGTTTTTGACATGTTATACAACTGATTTTTCTACGACACACCAATGGTGTTTGATGAAAAACTCAGAAATGGTTAATAAGATACAGATTTTTAAATATTTAAAATTTGGGGGAAAATGGCAAAACCACCATTTTTTCCATCTTCCTCTCAGTTTTTAAATGTTAAAAAATCTGTATCTCAGTTTTGTCACACACCATTTTTGTGTCTTAGAAAATCTGTTGTAACAAATATAAAAAAAAAATTTCCTCAGGAGCCTGGCATTAAGTTGGGTGGCACTTAGACAACAAATTTCCCAAAAATATGTAAACAGAATATTATTTTTATTTTTGATTTTATTATTATATGGGCTTGTCTGACTTGCCCCTCCAATGTTTTTGTTCTTGTTATTATATCATTATACTATTGTTATTATTGTAAACATTGATAAT